TACATTCTAGTATGTCGTTTCTTCCACTAGCCAGGATCTGTTCTTCTCGTCTGTATGCTTTGTTCTGATATAGCATACAAAGTACATTTATTACTGCAACAATTAACGTAAAATACAGAAGATGTATATATATATATATATATATATAGAGAGAGAGAGAGAGGGTAGTAACTATAGGAACATCTAAACAAGCAACATTCAATAAAATGGCCACATACAAGAAAAATCTTAAAGATCAGTAAAAAAAAAAACTGTGAAACATATTGGAAAATTGGTAAGAGATTCTAAACAGAAATCTTGAAAACCAACTGTAAATCCCTCCTCTCAACTTTCTTCATGTAGATAGTTTCACCTCTGGAGCCCATATTTCTTCGTATTTGCAGGCCACGAGCATGGCCGTGACACCAACCAACTGTAAATCTCTTCTCTTGACTATCTTCATGGATAGATAGCGATCAACAATGTGCATCGTAAGGTACAGTGTCTCAGGCATTAGCTCAAATTTCAAATGCACTTCAATCAACCAATCAGTGAGAATTGCCCTCATCTTATCATTAATCTCAACTTGCGAACCCATATAGTCACGAATCTGACTCAGACTCTGCACAAAAATTGAAAGACGATGAGAGAGAGAGAGAGAGACGGGTAGAGAGTTCTTCATTTTTGTACTAGGAACGAGGGCATTTTAGAGCAAAGACATTAGAGAGAGAGAGAGAGAGAGAGAGTTTATTATACCTCTGCTTTCTTGTAAAATGCATAGATATCTTCAATGTAATCAACCACCGCTAATTGATCATGGACATCGGCAGCATCAATGTCATCGACCTTTTCCTCCAGCTCGTCCTTCAAGCCACAAGCAGCCTGACAATCGCCATGCACATAATGAAATAGAAGAACAAGATCAACCTAATATCACATTAACAAACATAAAGCTTCACACCAAACTGAATTAACCAGCAGAAAAATAACATTACGATTCAAGCATCTTTCAGAAGTGAGAACAAAACTTGGTCTTCATAAGCAACAAAGATTTTTTTGCCCACATATCTTTATTTGAACCAGATATGTAGCCAAACCACACAGACTGATATGCTATGAAAATTGAGTGGCACATACATGCTAGATTCAAATTCAAAACACAAGACTGATAGGTAAAGAGAGAGACTGACAGTGAGATGAATACCTTGCTTCGAGCAGTGAGGACTTGAGTGAGAGTGTGAACTTTCTTCCTTGATGCCCTTCTGTTGGCAGTCTTCTCTTGTGTTTTTTTCTGCTCTGTGTCGGAGCTAACCTCAATTATGTTTTCGGGCTTTGGCTTAACAGTGACTTTGGGTTTAGCCGGAGGTGGCACAACTGGTTTCTGTACCACCTAATAAATCATAGATTGGACCCAATTCATCAAGAGAAAACCATTCTTATGCCTAATTTTATCACAAAGTAATACGGAACTTCACCTACGCCTATCACTGATTAGAGGTGATACCGTATACAGAAGAAAAAATCTCATTCTTCTTTTATGCCCGATTCTATCACAGTTTGGAAATTGTATATGGAAGCAAAAAACATTCTTATGCCAAAGCAAGGAAGATAATGATTCGCATGATAAGAATCAAGATGAAAATGATCAAGAAATGGAGGGGGGTTTAGATCATTTACCTTATTGACTGCAGCAGCCTGTGCATTGGCCAGAAGTTGTGCTCCAAAACTCCTGAAAACCAAAACAGAAACACAATTTGAGAGAGAGAGAGTGAGTGAGTGAGAGAGAGAGAGAGAGAGAGAGAGAGAGAGAGAGAGATATAGTAGAGAGAGAGAG